ACCCTGCATGCACTCAAGCATATAGGGTATCATCGCAACAGTATTTCGATATCCTGTTCCCTTCAATAATAATTAATTTTTAAATATCTACATCAATAAGTAATAAATTACAACATCAGGCACCCAGTATACTGCCTTCTCCCAAGCCATGTGACAGCAGATCTTCATTTTTGGTTTATTTTCAGAGCTATTTGACAGCAAGCACAGGAGTACATCATGCCCTGAGCTCATCACATCACATTTATCGTCCTAGGGATGACAGGAAGTCATCATCATCATGCTCCTATATTAGTACAGGTAATATATTCTTATAGCATGTACGAGGGTCACTCAATAAGTTATCTACCTAAATAAGGAAGAAACATCCGAGGGGAAAAATAACACTTTATTTTTCAATGTAGTCACCTTTTAACTCAACACACTTATTCCACTTTGATTCCAAGAATTTCATTCCCTGGGAATAGAAGTCAACTTCTTGTCCATTGAACCAATCAGAAACGGCAACTTTCAGGTCTTCATTGCATGAAAATCTTATTCCCCGCAAAATTTTTTTCAAGTGTCTGAACAGAAAATAGTCGCTAGGAGCATGATCCGGGCTGTAGGGAGGATGGTTGAGCTCCTGAAAGCCACACTCCCTCACTGCTGCCTGAACTTTCCATGATTTGTGGACGGGCGCGTTGTCATGAAGAAGAAGGACCCCCTTGACAATTTTCTTCTGCGTTTTTTCTTGATGGCATCATGTATATTTTTCATGGTGGTAGCATAGGAATCGCCAGTGATTGTACACTTCTCTGGCATGAACTCAAGCAGCAGTAGTCCCTCGCTGTCCCAAAACACAGTGGCCATAATCTTTCCTGTAGATTTCTGAACACGAAATTTGCGAGGCGTTGGCGATCCCTTGTGCTTCCACTGCATGGACTCCTGCTTGGTTTAGGGATCCCAGTGATGAACCCAAGTTTCATCACCAGTTACTATTCTGGGGAAAAATGTTTCCCCGATTTGTTTAGAAAACTCCAAGTTTTCCTTGCAGATGTCAGATCTGTTCTTCTTCTTAGCTCGAGTCAGCATTCTTGGTACCCATCGAGAACTGACTTTGGACATACGTAACTTTCATGATGTGAATCACTGTGCCCTCTGAAATCCCCAGTTCATGAGCTAAAACAGAGACTTTGGTGCGACGATTCTCCAGTATCGCACTCTCCAATTTGTCACACATTTCCTAATCAGAAGCCTCCACAGGGCGCCCCGACATTGGGTCATCTTCAATCGACTCTCTTCCCCACTTAAACTGCTTCCTCCAAAATTTAACTCGATAATAAAAAGGCAAAGACACGCCATAAAAGTTAAGCATACGTTCATGAAAATCCTTAGGTGCTTTCCCTTCTTTGGTGAGGAATTTGATCACTGAACGATGTTCAACTTTCGTCAAATCCATGACACAGACTCAGGAAAAGAAATCTAATGCGCTACCTCTTTCAACAGACTTGAGCCACTGAGCTGGTATAGTGGTGGGGCACTCACGAGACCTGTCGAGATATGTCACCACAGGCACAGGCCTGTTGCTCATCCCTTTCATATTCAGGTAGATAACTTATTNCGTTGCCCCCTGATGCTCTCCCTTTCATATTCAGGTAGATAACTTATTGAGTGGCCCTCGTAACTATGGTTCAGGCAAAGCAAATTGCTTAATTAGGAATAGAAATAACTGTAACGATCCTTGAACTTTCTTGATTTCAGAGAAGCCCCTGGCTTGAATTTAAAGTCGATCATTCCCTTTGAATAAACAAAATTTGAGTTAATGCTTGCTGAAAATATAGAATGGTGGGCCGCTGTTGGAGAATTTCCCAGTGAAGTGCATAAATTAAGAGATAAATGTGACTTGGAAAATCATTGGTTTAGCTGCGCTGGATATCAGAAGCTTAAAAAACGAGTATTATGCATAGGAAAAATGTAATTCATGTATCACGCCAATGGTCCAAATCGACCAGGAAATGAGCTCAACCATCTCGGATTTTGACAAAACTTGGCAAGCACGTAGAGGAAGCGATTTAAAGAAACGGATTTCAACCAATTCTATGTATCTCTAAGATATCTCCAAATACATTATATATTATTGTACCGAATTTTCGCTCCCGAAGTTTATAATGACCGGAATTGTGAAACTGTTTCTGCAATAACTTCCGCTCCAGTTAAGATATATACTTTCCTAGCGATTTTGTTTGCACTTCGGGCAAACAAACTCGCCATTGTCGCGCCTTCGGCGCACCATTTCCTGGATAGTGATTGTTTCATTTATGTATTTTCAAAGTGGCCAGACATTTTAAACATCTGTGCCCGTTGGAATATGTATCGATATAGAACAAACCGATATTTTCATTGGAATTATTACTCCCATTGTTTATTATGCGCCAGACTTCAAATCTCTTCATAATCTGCCCTGAGGGGTCATATTTGAAAAGTAGGGCACGAACTCAGCAATCGAGCAGGTAATTCTGCTCCAAGTTTAATTTTTCGTTAGTTCTTCCCTTCATTGAATCAGAAAAGTTTCCGGAAAATGCACCATTTGCAAAAAAAATATGCCCTTAAGGGTTTTATGTAAAAATTATCATTTTTACTAAAATCAGTACTCGGAGAACTACCTACGAAGTTTCAACCTAACCTGTTTGCTCTCAGTGCTGGTGGAAACATATATTTAAAAAAGCCGATATAGCCAAAAGCTGAGCGCTTGAATTTTTTATGAACTCGCCATGACTTCCGTTATTACTGTGCCACATTTCACATTTCTATCTCACATTTCACATTTCACATTTCTATCTCCATACAATCCAGTGGACAAATGAAATTATTTGAAAACCCCACCCTCTAAAAATATGCTTCCAGTGCATGTGTAACGCGGTTGGCGTTATGGCGCTGTTGAGGGATACGTATACATGTGGAGGCTTGCGTGGGTTCGTGCCAAGCCCCACGTGAACATGGAATATTGTGGTAAACAGGATTTCTACGAGTAAGGTTCAATAAGACATCCTCCAAGTGGAGGTCACCAGGATTTGGAGAAGTGGTTGGAGGAGCTGTTGGCTGGAAGTGAGAGAAGACTTTCGAGACGCTCTGCCGAGAAGTGGAAGGTCGGCAGGCGAGAATGGCTCCGTTGAGAAGTGTTGAATCAGCGGGTATAAATGGCTCCGTTGATTAGTGTTGAGCGAATGCTCCACGAAGGCCTGCGGAGAAAGTAGTTCTCCGAGCCAAGGTGAAGGGGCTGGTACATGCCCCATGGCGAGGGCGAAAAGGGGTGAAAGGAAGAGCATCAGGGGGCAACGAGAACATGACACATACATATACATACATAGATTTTCTAGGCTGCTTTTCCCAATTTAATGAGGTCGCGGTTTGAGCATCCCCAGGAGCGTCCTCCAGTGATCTCGATCCTGGGCAACAGACTCAAGTTCAGCTGGTGGGATGCCAAGCCTCTCGTGACAAAGCCGAGCGACGTAATCACTCCACCTTGTACGAGGTCTACCGACAGGTCTTTTGCCGATCATCTTGGCCTTGAAGACTCCTCTTGGGAGCCTCTCAGGGGGCATGCGGCTGACGTGTCCAAACCACCTGGCCTCAGACCTCTCGATCCGGAGAAGCAGCTGCTCAACGTGGAGACTCTCGCGGGATGGCAGAGTTCCGCATCTGATCACGGCGCGTTACGCCAGCCACTCGACGCAAGAACCTCATTTCGACAACTTGTATCCGCGATCTGGTGCTTTCGGTCATTACCCAAAGTTCATGAAAATAGGTGAGGGTGGGGAGATGAGCATTCTTAAAAGCCGAGAGTTTTGTTTCCCGAGAAACTTCCGACCTGCCAACCACGGTTCGCCAAAGTTCCCGCAGAACTGCAGAAGCCTTGGAGATGCGGTTGTCGATGCATTTATTATGCATTTTCTCAGCAATAAAGCTGCATTATCGGATAGTTCTCTGTTCAAAAATCCACCCTTGGTTTTCTATTGGGCACCCTGTAGAAGAAAGTTGGGTTGAAAAATCGGGAAACTCCCATCGACGTGAATGGCAGAGTCGCCATGATACCAAAGGGTATGGCTTCCAATTGCAGCACGCATGCCTATACTTTTCCTGTGGGCGTGCCAATTCCAGTTCTTTTTCTTATCTCAGTGGTCCAGACCTTGTTTATGGTTCTGGGAGGTTCTAGGGCCTCGCACGTAGCCTATGCATTCCGACATCTGAAGATTATTAGATGAACTATGTGACGATCCATTTGAGAGACAGATGGCAGAGAAATCGCGTTCTTGATCCCACAGCACGTGTTGCGGCTGACGGTGCTGGCATCCCGCTGAGAGCATACCAGCGGGATGTCAGCGGTGCATTTCCGCCCTTCTCCCCGGCTGACACTTCGACAGGACAATTTTTCACATTTCTCACCCTTTTCCATTCACAAAGGAGTATCGACATGTATGCTTATTTTTCTACGTGAATGCTGCTTGAAACTGCCATCGACAGGGCGTCACAATTTAGGAGGCTATGAAAACATTAATTTCATGGAACTGGCACAACTATTATACGATATTTACGACCGACGTGAAGCGACTTTAAGCAGCTTATTAGTCGTGTAACGCCCGACCTTGCAAAAAATTCCAGTAATTCATCGCTTGCTTAATGAATTCAACCATTTTTTCACGACAACGGTTCCCACAATCCCCGAGACGGTGCCAGAAACAGGCTGCACCAGCCACAAAAAAAAAGAAGAAAATGATTAAAGCAAAGAATGGGAGGCGGAACAGCGCCACAACGCGCGACACGGCATCCAGGCTCCACCGAGGCCAGCCCCGATACTCCCGGGGTAACACGCATTCCACCGAGGCTGGAGGGGCAGTTGCCGTTCCGTGTCCGGGTTCACACTCCCCTCGCTGCATTCCTCAGGCGCCGACCAATCGGAAGCGAGGACGCCAGAGGCACGGGAGGGAGGATGGTCCCGAGCGGGGAAGGGCAAGTCAGTGCTCAGAGGAAGATGGCGATCGCCGTCAGCTTTTGTTTTCCTTCGTCTTCGGACCCTGCCCCGTGACTCCATGGATTCCGAGCAGGTAAGCCCCTTCGAGTCCTTTCTTTCGCCTCTCGGGAAGAAGTCAATGCTTCTCAAGATATTTTGGTTCGGTCCACTGTCATCATTGACGCTGGAAGGGCCATAAATCGGAATATCTCAGCCTTAGGCCTAAGAGAGATGGCCGATGGGCCTGTCGACCCACATCAGCCCACCGATGAAGGCGGTCTTATCCGGAAGGACAAATATTTTAGCTTTCTTATGAACCTTAGTTAGGTTTAGCAAAACCTTGGCCCATTGACTACAACCCCTATAAAGCTTAGGAGCAACCGAAACACCCAGAATTTCCATTAGGCGTCAGCTTAGAAGGACATTTTTTATGGACAGAGTTTATGGGACCGGAAGAAGCATAATTATGCTGTGTTATCAGATTCTCGCGTGTTTGCATGAATTAGAACCCGGGAAATATAGCTGTAGCCTCGTAGATGCGAGCGTCGAAGTCTTCGCCCATCCATTGGACCCGAGCGTTGAAGTCTGTCGTTTTTTTTTATATCGGCCATAATATTGCCAATTATTTTGTTTTGTTCCTTTTTTTCGTTAAGTCTCCCTTCTCCCTGTTTTTCTTCTTTATCTATTCCCCCGACCGTACAACAACTCCCAGGTAGGGAAATTTCTTCGAAATCAAGGGCTGGTAGGACTTAGGAAACCTGAGCATTTTTCCATTCCGTTATCGAGTTATGAATGAAGCTTATTTACATAAATCGTATGAGTAATTATACCGTGATATAACTTAACAGAAAGGTTTTGAATTACTCACCGTCAGAACGATCTAATAACGACCCACTAATATACGAAAAATTTATTTCGCTAGTAAAGATTTCGGACTCTAAGAGGACTCCTGAGCCAGTAAGGTTTATAAGCATATTTTATTTACCATATCATAGGTTGGCCGAGTAAGTCATCGAAACAAGGTGTTCATGAATAAATGTAAATGAACATTCCAGTATGACGTTGCACAACAAATCTCGGTTGTCTTCACATTGGGGGTCACTAATGGCGAAACCTGCGAAACCGGACTCCTTATCGAGACTCCGCAGGAAGGAATTATGCTAACGACGACTCGTGATGGAAGGATCACGAAGGCCGGGCGGAGCGTTTCCTCAATTAGGACTAAAAGACTCGCCCCCTAACGACGCGGACTTTCTCCCGGTTGTCCTCCTGGACGTCTCTCTTCGTGAGGTCACCCTTGCTTTCTCCTGATTGTCCTCCCCATGGATGTCTCTCTTCGTGGGATCAGCCAGGCCTTTTCCCGGTAGCCTTACTGCTGGATGTCTATCTCGGAAGGGTCATCCTGGCTCTATCCCAGTTGTCTTCCTCCTGGATGTCTCTCTTCCTGGGGTCATTCGTGCATTATCCTGGGTGTCCCTCTTGAAGGGATCACCAGGCTTTCTCTCGATCCATTCGGGCTGTCTAATGAGAGATGTCGATGACCTTGGACCTTCAAGGTTTCAAGGGGCCTCACTCCCTCATTTTGAGTTCCATTTGGATCCATCATAGCCGAGAATATGAAAATAATATTCGTCCGTTCTGCATGACTGAGCCGCCATCCATAAAAGGCTCGGCGCACTTTGAAGGACCTTTGAACCCTTTGAATGCATCTCGTTGCAAGTACCTGATCGTGCGGTGCATGTAGGAACTTTCGTCGCGTGTTTCGAAGTTGCTCGCGCGGTGCGGATTTATTCGGTGTTCATCTGTTTGTAACATAATTTACAGGCATCTTGTATAATTTCTTGGTTTATGTTGTAGAGTTTCATGAGAAATTCATACATTCCTGTGAAATGAAAACAGAACAAGCTTCTACCAGGCCAGCGGTGCACAACTCAAAAAGACTGAGGGCCACTTGCGACTTTTACTCGCATACCGCGGGCTGCATTCTGACTGATCGTAGTTGTAGCCAACAGTACAGGAGCCATAGTAGCACTTAAAACGCCACCAGTCACGGCGGGCCGTATGTTGTGCACCCCTGTATGAGACGAAGGAAAACAGTATTCCCCCTGGAGTATTTAGCGAAAAGGGTGAAGAGTGATATGTTCGAATGGGAAAATGCGAATGGTATGAGGACTCAATCGTGCTCCCCTTCCTTAATTTTGACCTGTGGTGGTCCAAAAGACGAAAATCGAATGCAAGGGAAATTTTCAAGTTCTACTTGGGACCGGACTTTATTTTACCGCATCGTGAGTATAATGTGCATTGAATCCAACCATCTGGCAAGATTTCCTCGGACGAGGATATAAGCAAGAGAAACAGAAGAGTAGAGGAATCGTGCAAATTGTCCCAAATTCCTCCAAGTCAGGGTAATGGGCAATATTGCGTCAGCTGCAATTCGAGAAGGAAAAGTTGGGATAAAAGCGTGGGTCGCGGATGAAATATTCGTGAACGGGGTGAAATTATGCCCTAATCCATGTGTTTCGTGCAGGTGGAGTGAATTAATAAGGTTCCCTCTCTCGATGATGGCGTTCTGCCTCATCGAGTGACACACTGTAACACTTCGTCCTCAACTCTAAAATACCTCTAACACCTTGCACCTGTTGTCCCAAGCTATTTCTGACAGACATGTGTTTACAAAGGATTTAGTTTTTCTTTTATTGTTGTAATTCTGGAAGGGTTGCGATGTTATCTCGATCGCGGACGAAGCCTTTAATCCTTGACATTCCCTCCCATTTTTTCCGACCCCCGCATGCTTCCCGACCCGACTGGCGGAAAAATTCCCTTTTGTTTTCCTAAAGACTCCCAGCGTGAAGCCATGCCTCACTGACGACGCATCGAAGCCGAAACGCCCCCCAAAGACGGCATTCCAACTCGTTCGATCGAAGGACAGAAAGAAAAATAAAGGCGCTTGGATTGAGCCGATCGAGGCCCCCCCCCCGAGTAGTCCTACGGTGCGGACAGCCTTTTATTTTCTCGGAATCGTTGGCATCTTCGGGTGTTTGGTCGTCCTCCGTGCCATCCTTCACGTGGAACCGGTCTCGCTATCGCAGAAAGGGAAAGAACGACCCGCCGGATCAAATATTCAACGCCGGATGGGCAAGGGCATTGGGGCCTTTGCACCGGGGCTCGAGCGAAGTGGGATCGTCGGCCGTGGGTCGGGCCATGCCGATTTAAAGATATGCGGTTGGGGGAGTTCACGAGCGGACGTCGCCCGGTTCCCGTAATTCGTGAAGAACGCAGGAGAAAGTGAAGGCGGCCGGAGCGGTCGAGTCGCCTTTTGTCTTGGATTCCTCATTCATGCCGAGTTCTTTCCCTTTTTTTTCCTCTTCTCTTAGACTGTGGCTGGGAAATTACGAGGAGGATTTTTCAGCCCGTGTTTTGAAATTACGGAATCATTTTGCTTTCATCGGCGTGAGAAACGCGGAATGGAGCGTGGAAATCGACATGCATACGACGTGCATCGGCACGTGAGTCCAAGTGGGACGATCCCTCGCTTCGGCCTTGGGCACCATCGGCCCACCGTCGTGCAGGTGGGAGAGGCACGCCGAGAATCCGCAGGATGTACTTAGACGATTCCCCGCCGAGATTACGGGCAGGGCGCGTGTCGGTGGGCAACGCAGCGGCGGGGGATTTCCCCACGGCCGGATGGACTCGATCGACCGGGTGGACTCGATGGGCTGCGAGAGATCGATCGGCGTTCCGGCCGATGCGGGCGAAAGGGGCGGTGGGAGTCCGAGGCCCTCGTTAATTCCTCCATTAATATGACTTCGGATTCTCGTCGCGATGAGTTCCACGAGTACCTGGCACGGCTGGGAGGGAGGGATGGAAGCTCGAAGCGATCCAGCGTCCCCATTAGAGGAGCAGAAGGATCTCGTCGTAGGCGAAGGAGATATCCACCGTGTTTGTGGGGGCAGTTTTGGGAAGACGCAGATGCGTCTGACCGATGCCAGGGGTCATCCACGTGTTTCCTTGGAGTCTCGTGTTCTTCCAGTGCGATAAGACCGTGCGAGTCGAAACGCCTCTCGAATACTTTTTATCGTGTCTCTGGTCTCACTGCCGTTTTCACTAAACCGATGCTGCGCGTCGACTCGTACGTTCCCGACAGAACCGGGAAATTTAATTCAAATACGTTGTGACTCAGGCTGTGAACGGTTTCCCCGAATATGTGTTTTAATGCCGGAAACGAACACGAGGAGTAGTCTTCTGTCTGGCTTTTTGATGTTCAGCCCAATTTTAATATTTTTTTATCAAATCAATTTTCCAATCGATCCGTGATGAATTGAACTGGAAACACTAATGTGAGGTTACTCTAAGCGAAACAAACTTGGTGTTTTGGATTTTTAACACTCGTTTATTGCCGAAGCTTCACTCGCTGCAGATTAATTTTCGATCTCCTCCCACCGCCTTGCTTTGACAACGAAGTCGCATGAAGTTTCTGAAAGGTGTTGGGAGCACATCAGCCTATGCAGAGTTCATGTTATGGGAAATGGAAAAAAAAATTGGCATATATTTTAAAATTTCATTCATTTCAGGGAGAGCAAGAATATAGGAGGTTTAAAAATCTTGCACCTTTGTTTGCCATTCCCTCCGAAAATGTTAAAGATGAGAGTTTTGTACGGTGAAACCTGTGCGATACGGCCACGAATCTTTATAAATCTGGCCGCTATAAATATTGCAAATTTTTAACACTTTTTCTTCTAGGCAAACCGAGACACTTACCAGTCAGTTTTCCGAGAAAATTAAACACGCTGCTTATTCCAAAGGTACCGTACATCTGATTTTGTCAGATTTTAATTATACTACGTACACCGAGAAGAAATTTTGGAGACCGTTATTCGATTGTGAGGAAATCTTGAACGTTCGTTTGACGCACGCGCATTTTGCGTTCGCACGCTCGCTCGTGGAGGGACACTTCGAGCTTCGTGATCGTTTAAACTGGCTCATGCATCCCCTTCTCTGCCAAAGAGCACTTAACCTTCTCCGTGGCATTCGATGGCCTGGAAAGAGAGCAAGATACGCAGAAGAACTAGCAGCAGGTCGACGCTCTGAGGTCATTCTCTCTGCCGAAACATCCGGAGATGTGGCCTTGACAATGTAGCGACGGGTCAGTTCAGGGATTGAGGGGGGGGGGGGGGGGAGGAAGGGAGGCGAGAGGGAGGGAAGGAGGGAAACTGCAAGGCAGGGAAATGAAAAGAGATATAATCGATCTGCGATCCTCTTTCTGTTCTGGCGGGATTAAGAGTGGTCAGCACAGAGTCTGCAAATCCTCAGCCGCTGACCGCATCATACAGGTGGCCAGATAAAACAAGTTATTTTAACATCGGATCTATGGAGCTAACGATCGGAGCTGAGCACTTCTGGCCGCAATAGGAAGTGGCCGAATTCACAGGTTTCACTGTATATTCCATTGTTATCTATACGCGTGCCTATTCTACAGGCGTCTGCATCACTCGGCAGAGGACTAATGGCATGTGATCCCTTTTAAGTCTTCCGTGTGGGCAGTTAGGCGAGACCATCTCGGAGAAATTATCATTCGTCATCTCGACGTTCGATGCCCTTGGCATTCCGTGTCGAGGTAACCTTGTTATTCGCTACGAGTCGATCGATGAAACGAGTGAAACTCTATCACCGCATCCACGAGATGGAATCGACCTGCGGTTACGGGAAGGTCGTCTGGACCGAGGTCGGTATACTGAGATTCTGGAACGACCTCGTTTTGTGTTGCAGACGGACGGTGACCGGGGTGGAGGCGACGGAGGAGGAGGAGGGGGAGAAGGGAGCACCCCTTCGAACCTGGACCGGATGTCACCTCACCAGAAGCAGGTGTTCCTGGACAAAGTGAAGGCGTCGAACCAGGCGTGCAGCGAAGGAGACTTCCACACGGCCGTGCTGCTGTACACGCAGGCACTGGAGATGGACCCGGGGAACGCCATCCTCCACTCGAACAGGAGTGCCGCGCTGGTGAAGCTGGGGCAGGGGCACCGGGCGCTCCAGGACGCGATCCGTGCGAGGGACATCAGTCCCAAGTGGGGCAAGGTGAGTCGCTCGAGGGGCGTTCGTTTAGGGAAAGTCTTAAACGGCCTTAAATCCGGGAAGTAAGAAATTCCAAATCGGGACACCGAGTCCGTAGACGACCTTAACCCTTCGAGGATCGAGTTTTCTGGAACCTTTCGGGAGTACGGACGTACCTGTGCGTTCACGGTCCGCGAAGGGTTAAAGCCAGGGACGACGACGAGGGGCATGGAAGTGCGTGCATGAACTTTGCTCGAGAAGGGCCTTGTGGCGTGGATGGCATTCGAAAGGGGAGGCCGTGCGTGAATAGGAACGATTTTGTCGGGGAGATCATTAGGAACTGCGCCGGACGGCCGAGGAGTTTCATTGTGAAATGCTCCCATTACGGAAGGAATATCATAGCATGTGCATCGTCGCATGTGCATGTTAGAGAGAAATCGAGACGAGAATTCTGCCTTGCTCTTTCGTATCTTAATTGCCAGATGGAGACCATAATTGCCAGATCGGAGTCACCGCCATCATTTTTTTGCTCGCTCTACTTTTTTTTTGTTGTGGCTTGGTCGAGAGTTTAAAAGGCCATGCCCTTTCCTTTAATTCACTCTTTCGGTCACGATTCCTTTTTTTTTTTCTTCTCGCCGGCATTCGCCTCGGTTCTGTTTGCATGAAAACCGTTGCTAATTGGCTGAGGCACCTCCCACGCACGATGGCTCTTGGATGAACTCGTCGATGGATGGCTCCTGGATGGAGTTGTTTGGATTTTTTTTTGTCATCCACAGATCGACGTCACATCGGTTTAGTTCGCATTTCTCGACGGTCGATGTTACGGTACGAAAAAAGGAAAGAAGAAATACGTGATTTGAATGAGCCAGCCTTTGAAGAAAGAGCTTCTTCGGTTTCGAAGCTTATCGATCCAGGGAGAAATCGAAGCTCGGAAAGCCCTTGGTAATTGGGACCGTTGCTATCACCGCGAGATGAAATCCGGGGAGACCCTCGTGCCAACGGATCCTGCTTTTATTTTTTGGGAAAGAAAACCGTCGGGTCACTCGAGATCATACCAGGGGGGCAAGGAGAGAGGTAATTACAGTGTTTGTTTGAACACAGGTGCAGGCTCTCCGGCTCCGCAGTCTCTCCCTTCTTGCCCCCTCTCTTCCCCCCTCCCTCCCTCTCTCCCTCATGGTAATTATCCGCCGGGTGCGGACGGGGTGGTGCAAGAAACCGGAGCGGCTCACCGCGGATGGGACCTCCGTGTCGGCTTTTGCACTCGAGCTTTTCGTGCATCGTGACGTTTTAACGTTAATTCATTTACTGCTCTTTCAAATGATGTTTTTAGAATGCGAAACACCAGAATTTCGAGGCTTTCCCGAGTGCCGTCCAGCAATCGGCTACTTCCGTGGTTGCCCCTCGAGGAGGTACAATCGATGTGAATTTCTCCCTCCGCAGCACCCTGTCGGTGTGTGCCTACGACTCCCCTCGAGTCCCTGAGTCGAAGGAAGACGAGAACTGTTTCTAAGGGGGTGGGGGGGGGGGATCGGGAACTGTTGTCAGATGGGTATTTAGGGCGCGATGCAATTTGCCCCGTCTCTGCCGGACTCAGCGGGGGTGTTCGCTCCACTCGTGACCGTCTTTTCTCATTTTAATAGCGAGTCTCCTTTTGTTTAAAGAAGAATCGAGGCTCGTCGAAAAAGAAACGAGGACCGTGAAGACGAAACGAGGTTCCTCGTGCGATCGCCCGGATGTCGTTACCGAAAACGTCGTCGTCGTCTCGCCGACGTTTTCGGGGTTGTCGCAACTCACCGGCGTCACGATTATTTTGTTTTTGAAAGATTTTGACAGAATGAATTCCATCCGTAATGAGAGGCTTGAAGAGTCGGAGCACGTCGCGAAGTCCGCGTGGCGTCACGAACGGAGAAATAAACCCGAAAGAGCTGGGGATGTGCGTCCCGATCGGTAGCGTCTCTTGGGGAGCGACCGATCGCATCGTTCTCTTGTCATCGCGTCGTTACGGTCCTTTCCCCCCCCTGAAGTACGAAAATGCCACGCGTGACGTAACCCTGCTCGTTAACCGCATGTTTTATGCTTGGCATGGAAACGAGCCCAAAATGCGGAAGGAAGCCCTTCGATGCAAAATTGCGTCAGATACGAAAGCCAGAAATAAATAAGAACTCGATTAAATAGATGGTATGCGAATCGTCGAAGGAAAGCGAACGGGCAGATGTGCTTCCGCTCTCCGGTTCGTTCGTGATTTTGGGAGACCCCCTGGGGGTGTCCCACGGGTGACACCCCTAAATACCGAGGACTGCGGTCGGAACGAGTGGCGCGGATCGTCCTTGAGAAGTCACATTTCATCGGGGAAAAAAAATGGAAAAAGGGGGACACTCTCTTGTCTGGGTGTTCGCGTCACTCGCCTTCTTTTTTCTTTTTTTTTGTCGTGTCTTTTGTGTCAACGACCGGAATCCCATCGCATTCCTCGGATACTTGATTGAAGACCGGTGTTAATAAGCGATTCCTGTCGTGATAGCTCCTCCTCATTAGAGCCTCTGCCTCCTTTCCTAATGGGAGGGAGGCAGAAGGTCCTAATGGGATTCCATCCACCTTCGCTTTATTTTTTCTCTTAATTTGAATATTCGGTCGAGTTCCTATCGTGGGAGGCCGTATTTGGTTGCTCTTGAGTCGTTTCTGCCTCTTCACGGTCAAAATATCTCGTAATTTATTTTTAAATACCTTTTTTTTTTTTTTCTGGTCTCTAAATCCTGGTGAAACAGGATTTTTCATTCAAGGAGATCGCAAGAGGAATGAGATCATGTTTTTTGAAGACCGATTCCGCATTCTATCGATTCCCCTGGATATTCGTGTGGTCTTTGGGGGTTTTCCTTCATCGTGTTTCATGGCCCTTGGGTGTTTTTTTTTTTGCGGGAGGTTTCAAGGGGCCCCCTCATTAGAAAAGGAAATCCAGGTTGTGATTGCGGAACGGGGGCCGACCTGGCCGTTGGCCATCGCAGAGGCCGCTTCTCCATCCCCCCCCTTCCACTTTCCCTCTTCCTCTCCCTTGTCAATCTTTGTCGGATCCGAGCTGCTACCTCGGCCCCGAGGGAAAGGGGAGGAGGAAAAAATAAACACGGCGAGTAGGTTTTTTTTCCTTGCCCGGAGTCGCCGACGGAAGAGTTGAATTAGATGGGGAGGAAAAAAGAAGTATGGGAATTTTCGGGTTAAGTGGAGCGACGTTTCGTGACGTTCGCGTATTTATCACCCGATGGGTGGGAGTAGCGAGGCTCGAGAGCCACGCAATAGGAAATCTAGGAAGGTCGGTCCTGGGAATCACACGTGGGAGAGGGGAATCGGCGACCTTGGGGGTCCGATTGCGAGTTCCGCCCGCGAGAATCACGGGTGGGTGGAGGGAAGAATGCCGCAAATCCGAACGGTGCTCGTCGGGATCGGGAGTAAGAATGTCGTCTTCCCGGCACTGCACGCGAACTCCGTGGACGCGTGCGGGGGGTGACGTCACTGCCCGGGCGATGCGAGCCGGCCGATCGCGTTGCTCCCACGAGGAGGGTATGGTGGCTTGGGATGGGGAGACCGCGGACGTTCCGAGCGCCGACTCCACTGCAGGTGGTGGGGAAATAGAGGTGTGGCAGAACCGGCTTGCCTTCTTGGTAAAGTTAGGATAAATTAGTTGCATTTCTTTGCGTCCATCTGGTCCTGTTTTTCACCGTTTTCTTGCACTCGCGTCGAGAAGGAAGCGGAACAGAGACCGAGCTCGTTTTTGCCGTCTGCCGAAGAGAAATCACTATAATTAGATCGGTAAATATAGATGTCCTGCCGTAGTCGTGCCATTTGGACCGGGGTTCACAGCGGCTGCTACGAGGGACTGATAGATGAACTGACGAAGCAGAACTGTTACACAACAGTTAGTCTACTTCCCCCCCCCCCTCCGTAAATGGGAAGAAGAACAAAGATGTGGAGCGCCTCCAGAGGTTCTCGTCATTTTCCCAACTCACTTTCACGATTTGTAATCGTGGGATCTCAGCGATGCAGCGATTTTGCTTTCAAATTTAAACGAGTTGAGCAGATTTGCTGGCACTTTTTCTATGACCTTGCAACCGAACCGAAAAACCGCCCGTGATTTTCTCATTCGGCATCACTTTGCACCATCACTTATTTCAATTCATACGATACCGATTTTCTCGCGTTTTTTTAGTTAACCCTTTCGTGGGCAGTGGGAAGTATACTAATCAGGCAACGATAGACACTCCCCGTGTTCTTGGAAGGCTACGCCTGAGAAAAAATTAGCCAGCAAAAGGTTAAAGCGCATTGCAGGGTGCACGGTAGCAGACGATTCCCGAAGCTCTCAGATGGTTTCATCCAGTCATTAACTGGAGCAACCGTGCGGCTGAAAATCGTTCCGGTCGAGCTGTGTAACCTGGATTCGAGGAGAGTCTGGTGACTCTTCTCGACCGATATATTTTCTCTCTTTCGGGAAGGTGTAACGATGAAGAAAGCTTACGATTTACCTCGTGGTCCACAGGCATACTACCGGCAAGGAGTGGCGCTGCAGAGTCTCGGCCGGCCGGCGGAGGCACTGGCCGCCTTCGCCTCCGGCCTCGCCCAGGAGCCCAAGTCCACCCAACTTCTGGCCGGCCTCGTCGAGGCTGCCATGAAGAGTCCCCTTCGAGGTACGTATCCCGTCTACGTTCGAGTCGATGGCTTGTACGTGACTACCGGCCTCGTTAAGTTTCGAGCCTCGATGAAGAAAACCAGTCTGGAAGGCACGATCATAGAAAAAATTTCACGTGCCGACTAGGATAAAATAACGTAATGACATAAAAACATGTAACTAAATTAGTCGCAAACGAAAGAAAGAAAGAGTAAATGAAAATACCAGGGAGTTATTTGGATTTCCCGTGTTCCCCCCAGCGACCCTGGAGCCAACCTATCGCCAACTGCAGACGATGCGCTTGGACAAGTCCCCCTTCGTGATGATCTCCGTGATCGGCCAGGAGCTGCTGGCGGCGGGCCACTACTCCTCGGCTGTGGTGGTGCTGGAGTCTGCCCTGAGGATCGGGACGTGCAGCCTGAAGCTCAGGGGCTCCGTCTTCTCGGCGCTGTCCTCGGCCTACTGGGCGCTCAACTCGCTGGATAAGGTCCGTGTCGACGGGTTATATGTTTTTTTTTTTTGGTTTTATGATTATTTTCGCGGTCGAGTTTTGGAATACGTACGGATTTTCTGCAATTTCATGATAAGTATGTATATACTGGAATCGTAAAGAAATTTACTGAATTTTATATTATTTTGCAAAATTTTCAAGTAATCGTATCACCTTGCCCGTTTTGCTATCGATGACTCTGCGGACGCGTGACTGACGCCATTCCTCTCGGTGGGACAGGCCCTGAACTACATGCAGCAGGACCTGGCAGTGGCAAAAGCCCTCGGCGACATCGCCGGGGAGTGCCGGGCCCACGGGAACCTCGGGTCGGCGTACTTCAGCAAGGGCTGCTTCCGGGAGGCCCTCACGTCCCACAGGTACCAGCTGGTACTGGCGATGAAGTGCAAGGACACGGCGGCGGCGGCGGTGGCGCTAACGAGTCTGGGTCACGTGTACACGGCGATCGGGGACTTCTCGAACGGGCTGGCGTCGCACAAGCAGTGCGTGCAGCTGGTCAAGCAGATCGGGGACAAACTGCAGGAGGCGAGGGAGATCGGCAATGTGGGAGCGGTGTACCTGGCGACGGGGGACTTCGACAACGCGGTGCAGTGTCACATGGAACATCTCCGGATCGCGAAGGAGTTGGGCAACAGGGTGGAAGAGGCGAGGGCGTACAGCAACCTGGGGTCGTCGCATCACTACAAGAGGAACTTCGAGCAGGCGATCACGTTCCACAATCACGTGCTGGTGATCGCGCAGGAATTGAGGGACAAGACGATCGAGGCGAGGGCGTACGCGGGGTTGGGACACGCGGCCAGGTGCATGGGGGATTACGTCCAGGCGAAGAAGTGGCACGAAAAGCAGCTGGACATGGCGCTGGCGACCAAGGACAAAGTGGGGGAGGGGCGGGCGTGCTCCAATCTGGGGATCGTGTATCAGTTGCTGGGAGACCAGGACGCGGCGTTGAAGTTGCACCAGGCTCATCTGAACATCGCTCGGGCGCTGGGCGACAGGGCGGGGATGGGGCGGGCGTACGGGAACATCGGGAACGCGTACAGCGCGATGGGTTACTACGACCAGGCGATCAAGTACCACAAGCAGGAACTGACGATCTCGAAGGAGGTGAACGACCGGAACAGCGAGGCGTCGACGCACGGAAACCTGGCCGTGGCGTACCAGGCGGTGGGGATGCACGAGATGGCCCTGCTGCACTACCACAGCCACCTCGGGATCGCGAGGGAACTGAAGGACACGGCAGGCGAGGCCTGTGCCCTCTGCAACCTCGGGAACTGCCATTCATCCCGCGGGGAGTTCGGCGAGGCCGTCCCGTACTACGAGCAGTACCTGATGCTATCGCAGGAGCTGCAGGACGTGGAGGGCGAAGCGAAGGCCTGCCACTTCCTCGGCTACGCCCACTACTGCCTCGGGAACTTCAAGGAGGCGATCCGCTACTACGAGCAGGATCTGTCGCTGGCGAAGGATCTCCAAGACCGGATGAGCATGGGCAGGGCGTACTGCAACCTGGGCCTGGCTCATCTGGCGCTCCAGCACCTGCAGAAGGCCCTGGACTGTCAGAAGTACTTCTTGGGTGCGTTCCGTTTTGAAACTCGTTTTAAATATCGATCGCTTCCTATAAACTTGCAACGATTCCAGAGGAACCTGGATCTAAGCAGTCGGCAATAGCATCACCTCGGAACTTTCACCTCTCCTGGCCGAGACGTACGAGCGTTTGAAAACGATGTGGCTCGAAAGCTTCCTTTATTCCCCCTTTTACCTCTTAGCCGTCCGGTTTTACGGGTTTTACTTCCTTTTCATACTTTATGGAAAAAAAAAATTTATTACCCTTTTATTTCATTGCTGCTAGCCCTAGTTGCTTTTAGAAAATCGCGATCGGATTTGATCTGCGTTGCAAGTTTAAGCGGTACCTTGTTTACATCATCGGCTTTCGGCCTTTAACTTCTGACCTTGAGACTAGTGAAACTTCGCATCGAAGTCTTTAATAATGATGCGACCCACATTTTAAAGCATCCCGCAGATGTTAAACCGCGATTGCGTCTGCCGACTTCTCGAGGCTACGCGATTTCCCTCATTTTTCATCCGACTTTCTTCGTCAGCTGCTGCTCGTTAACATCCCGGGAACAAAGGGGGAATCATGGGTATCAGTCTCACGTGTCGGAACTAATTTTAGACTGAAATATTACGGTACCGGTTCTTCTGTTCGGTCTACTTTTGACTTTTTGAGGCTCGGGTGCAGGGAGCACTTGCGCATCCCGTTGAGAGATGGCTAACTGGGGATAAAATGCTCGGGCATAGGGAGGAGCGAGCAATCATGCCATGTAGGTGATTGCCAGGGAAGACTGGACTGACGTCATCGTTAGAGACCTTCCGGGAACTCGTTCTTTCGTCCGTCCTTCGCCGACGAGGGTGCATCGTTGAGGATCCAGAGCCGACGCGTGACGACGTCGACGTCTGGCTTTTTTTCGCGTTTCGATCATCGACCGGATCGAAGTGGGTCTTTTGAATTTCAAGCTTTCTTTTTCTCGCCGAACGAACAATGAGGTTCCTTATGCAATCGCTTGGATGTTCGTTTCAGACACGTGTCTGACTGCGTGCGTGTGCGCGTGTCTGCATGCCAGGTCGGAGCTTCCTCGAGGTAGAAACTCGAAGAATTCAATCGGAATGATTTCCTCGAGGAGCTCTATCGCTTGAAACTCTATGGAATAAAACCGATCGGGAGTTGCTGGCGTACTAACCCGATGAGCTTTACGTGGTAAACTCGCGTTTCGTAACGGATGTAGTATAAAATTTACTCGGAAAGAGAGGAGGAAGAAGCAGGGCTGACGGTCCTTCCTTACGCCCTCCCGTCGGCCGCTGGACGGGATTTTCGTCCCGTGCAGCAGTCTACCAGTCATCCCCAAGCTTGCCAGCTCGGGGCTTCCTTTTCCTCTCTTTCGCCATTTAACCTCTGAAATCTCGGCATCCCACGTCGTTTCGCCTTCATCATCGAGGAGAACGGACCGGGCCTGCTCGGAATGGCCCAGCCTTTTCTTTCCTCGTGGAAAAAACCAGGAAATTCGCAGCTCGGCATCTCTTTCCAGCGACGTGGGAATGGCCGACGGCCGAGCATCGTGCACGTGAGAGAGCGGAACGGCATTTCCGACGGTTTACACGTACGGCGTCTGGGAGGGAGGCGAGGAGGGAGGTCACGGGGGGGAGGTCAGGGAGGTCGGGCGACCCTCGACCCTCCCTCCCTCAGCCTTGAGACTGGATGGCGATGATGATGATGATCCGCGCCGCCGTGTTTCATCCCCGGGGCCGGGGACGGTCACGTATCCCCCCGCCGATCATAACCCTTTCGTGACCCTTTCCTTCCGCTTATTTATTCCTCAGGAATTTTCATTCTCTCGGGGTTTTTTTTTCTCGTCTTTTAATACCTCGGTTGCTTCTAAATAGGAACGCCAGATGCACATGAATGAGAACGCTGGGAACGAAATAATAATCATAGTCGATAAATATATTTATATCTATAAATGGGTGACATGCACCAGATCTATTTAACTTAAACTAATCTGATCTCACTATGGTCCTCAAAGGGAATTCGTTTGACGGAGATGATCTTATTCCCCTAGACTCCTAGATTATGAAACCAGATCAGTTTAAAGTTAAAACGGATTTGGTGCATGTTACTTGTTGAGAAGTTCCAGTATGTGATCATTATGTGATACCGTGCCTGTCATTGTTAATTAATTTCATGATTTATTAAGTGGTATACGTTACAAGTTTTTTTTATTTATTAACAAGAATTTAATTCAAGCCTGTTCCTGATCACGATCGCTGCGAAATATTTATCAGTGGTAATTTATTGATAGCTTCGATGGCGGAGGATCCGTGTCCACCGTTGAACCAGACTATCGCCAACACTGCTTCTGGCTATCTTTAATAATTCATTGTTCTTTTTTGATGGGGAGAAATTGTTGCGTGACGTTTGAATCGCTTGGAGTCGTGGTACCTCTCTCTCGCGAACACACCTTAAAATAATGCAAAAGAGTAACAGCATTATTCCATTATGCCTACTTCTCCCTCTGCGACCTGTCCACCTTCGACTTCTGCTTTACATTTTATTTCTGCTTACTATTTATTGCCTGCTTACCATTTAAATTCCAGTTTACCATCTGATTTCTGGGTCCCGATTAAACTCGATAATATTTGTTTACGTGTCTTCCGTCAGCCATCGCCCACATGATGAAGCACGCGTCCGGGAAGTTTCGCGCCCTGGGGAACATCGGGGACGTGCTGATGAAGCAGGGAAACGTGGACGAGGCGATCAAGATCTACCAGAAGCAACTGGTGCTGGCGAAGAGCGTGCGGGACAAGGGGCTGGAGGGCTCGGCGTTCGGAGCGCTGGGGCAGGTGCACCGGCAGCTCAAGCGGCTGGACAAGGCGCTGGGGTTTCACACGCAGGTTAGGATTTCGCCTCGTTTGGTTCCTTTTCCTGGTTTTCTCAGGCTTTGCAGGGTTTGGAAGTTCCTTTTTTTTTTAATCCAAAATTTTCGTTAAATGCCAGTTAGTAAAAACATACCAATTAGAAGTCGCTGACGAGAATGGGATTGCAGTTTTTCATAAAGGTTTGGACTCGAACGCTAGGAGGGTTGGGGTATCATTCTTTCTCTTCTTTACTAGAAAAATATAAAGTTTGCTTCTCCTGACTCGAAAAGAGTCTTGCGTGACGACCCGATCGGAAATCCTAAACCCCCGACTGTGTCTCGTAGGAGTTGGCACTGAGGAGAGAAATCGGAGACGTACGCGGCGAGTGCCGCGCCCAGAGCCACCTGGGTGCCGTGCACACGGCCCTCGGGAACCACGCGGGTGCCGTCCGGGCGTACACGGAGCAATTGGAGAAGAGCAGGGCGCTGAGGGACAGCGGACTGGAGGCGCAGGCATACGGGAACCTGGGCATCGCACACCTCAACATGAGGGAACCGCAGAAGGCGAATGCCTTCTTCAGGCAACAGCTGTCCATCCTCAACCAGCTCTCGTCCACTTCGGCTGCCATCGATAAGGTTAATGTCCAATCGGTTGTGTGAAATGCATCTGAGAAATTGTTTAGTGCTTTTTAGTTTGGAACGATTCAGTGCTCGTGGAAGCAGGATGTGCCGTGCAAGTATATAGTTACGACATGGCATCGAAGATTATAACGAGTGTAATAAAAACCTTTCAGTCTAATTAAAAACAGGTATTCTGAAACTCACAACAACTAAGAACCACCCCTCACTTGGTCTCTGTCTTCATATATCGCTTGCGATTAAGCCAGAGGTGAAAGCATGAAAGCTACTGTAATCGATGAAGCAGAAACGCATTGATATGGATGATGTGTTGCAGATGTATGCCCTGGAGAACATGGGGACGTGCTATACTGTGCTGGGGGAGCACAGCTCAGCGCTGCACTGCCACGAGGAGCAGCTCCGGCTGGCCCTGCAGAGCAAGAGCCTCCAGAAGCAGGAGGCTGCTTACAAGGCCCTCGGCACCACCCACAAGGCGCTCGGGAATCTCCAGGAGGCACTGGTACCGTTTATCCCTCTCATCTCATTAGGGGAATGCCATCGGAGTGAAAAACCTGAAATGTCAGGAATAAATTAGCAGTTTAAACGAGTTTCCCAAATCGTTCAGATGTCTGTGACATGTCAGGGAAGTTGGCTTAATTATATCATCAGCCACTTAGGGTGGGAGTGAGTGATGTTTGTCTCAATGTAGTGAAGTGGAGGAGCACATTGAACCAGTACACTTCTCTGCTAATTATTGTACATATTGGATCAACCCTGGTTTATTCAGTACCATGCAGGTTTAGATGGAAGTTAGGCTGGAGTAGAAATGACAGTTGCTTGTGGGTTTAGGATACGTTGGTGATGCAGTTGTGACTGTTCAGGTTTTCTGTGTCTATGATGTACAAAGGTATCACTAATATGAAGTATGATTTGGGTGTAGAACATTTCATCCCACTCTGCTCTCAAGTCATACAGCCTGTGACTTGCTCACGAGTCGACTTCGGCAAGATTGGACTGTAGCATTTTTGTGTTCCCTGCCTTTGCATTGTATGTTTTGCACGGAAAGCCAAGTGTTCATTAGAAATTTGTGCATGCCTAGGTGAACTTTGAGAAGCGTTTGGTAGTCTCTCATGAGCTGGCCACGCCTCAACTGAAGGCCTCTGCATACGGGGACCTGGGGAACGTCCACCGGGAACTGGGCCAGTACGAACAAGCTATGTCCTGCCTCGAGCACCAGATGTCCATAGCCCGGGAGCTGGGTGACCGGTTGCTGGAGGGTGAGGCGGCGGCAGGGCTCGGGCGGGTCTACCACTGCATGGGGGACCCGACTCGAGCGCTCAAGTACCATCAGCTGGACCTCAGCCTCGGGGAGGAGACGGGACAGAAAAGGGCACAGGCACGAGCCTTCCACAACATCGGGGAGGCGTACGAGGCGCTCGGGAACCTCCAGGATGCGCTCGGTTACCAGAAGGATTTCCTCTGCCTTGCATCGCAGCTCCAGGACCAGGAGGCCAAGACCAGTGCCTATGCATCACTTGGTCTGTTCTTTCTGTTCTTTTTTAGTTCAATGAGCTCTACAGCATGTCAGGGAAAGTAACTGGGAATGCTAGTGCAATATAAGTTGTCATTTATACTACTTTGCAGTTTTGCAGTTATATATTAGGATTACTTCTCTTTTAATTTTGCTGCATAATTTTTTTCGTTGCTTTTGTATTCACCATAATGTGTATTTTATGCTGAGAAAGTTGTGTAGTATGTCATCTGAAATATTTTCTGAAATATCCCTATTTGCATTCCAAGGTTAAGGCATTAAGAAGGTCATTCTTGGTGAAACAGTATGAAATAGGAATTGATGTGTCTTCCAGGTCGAATCCATTTGAGCATGGGTCGAATGGGAGAGGCACTGGCATCCTTTGAGGCTGGCTTAGAGCTTGCAGAGGGTCAGGGACACTGGGAGGAGGAGGCACGGCTGCGGCACCAGATGGGGATCACCCTGTGGAAGGAGGGGAACCTGGAAGATGCTGCTCTGCAGCTTCGGAAGGCCTCCACTCTCCTGGACACCCTGCGCAAGCAGTCCCAGTGGTCCAAGGACCAGCGGCGGAATGCCTTTCACCTCCAAACCGAAACGCTTCATTCCCTTCAGGTTTGTAATGCAGTGATCACATCATAGAAAGCATTAAAAGTAATGTGCAGGCTATGTGTGCCAGTGTCATGCATATAACAACGATGTTGAAACATCAACTAAATCTGCAGCTGCAGCAAGAGAGGGAACATTTGTGGGAAGCTTTTATACCCAAGATTTACCTGCAATCTCTGTCCCACTTCACATCGAAAGAGTGTACTAGTTGTAGCGTGTTGCACATGTCATTTGATGTTAATGATCTGTTTAATTGCAGAAAGTGTTGGTGTGTCTGGGCCGTTTGGAGGAGGCCCTGCTGGCCGCAGAGTGGGAGAAGTGCCGTATTCCACTGGAGGTTGGGAGAGGGAAAGAACATTGTCCGGCTACCCCAGCCGCTCTCATGGAGCTCGTCCGCAGGCAGAAGGCCAGTGTCCTCTACTTCAGCATTATTGGCTCCACTCTCTTCACCTGGCTCATCACCCCACAGAAAGGTCCGTGGAGCTTCTTTGTCTGTCTGTTGCTGGCAGCATCAGTGTGGTCACTTCTTTCTTGATGAGGATGCATGCCTCCATTGAGAGTAATGGCAGGATGAGAAATTGCATGATTTGACTCAGAGTAAAGGCAACACAAAAAGCCATAGTAAATAGAGGAATAAAATTGATTCAACACTGAGTTCACACAGAGGCATAAGATTTCATTAAAAAATGCTTTCATTGGGTGAAGCAATGTCCTAGATGTATGAACTTTCATGAAGTGGTAGAATATTTGAAGAGACAAAATGTTTGAATTAGGTTTCAAAGGACTTGATGATGTGCAAATTTTCCTTAAATGGAGGACAGTTAGGGGAAATTCAATTTCCATTTTATATAGCTCCTATTTGCAGTTTTTCTTGCTTTTGGCATTCCAGCTTAAGTGAATTTCAATTACTGGTTAGTTTTACTGTGAGGTTGAGTTGTGCCCTTTTAGAACTAACATTTTTGCGAAATTGGGAAAGGTCCCAAAGTATTGAAGTGCATGTGCATTTATAATTTGAACTGAAGCAAGCCTTAGATTTGGCAGAGAAGGGACCAAAAAGCAATCTGATACAGCTGCCTGTGAAAATCACAACAGAACCCTTCTCCAGAGGGCGTAAACTAGTCTGCCGGTTCGAAAGCTGAACTTCATCACTGTTTCCGAACGACTCTGATGACCCTTGTTGTTGTCTCTTCTGGAGGAATTTGTCTGACTGAGTTACTGATGTCTGATGTAGGTGTGGTGGAGTTTGTTGAGCAGTCACTGGAAGTGGAGGGTGGGGAAGGGACCCTGATAGAGCAGCATCTGGAGAACATGCGGGAGTCCCTCGGCGTGAACGTGAACTCCTCCGTGACGTCCCCTGCCTGTGCCGATGGGTGAGTCCAAGGAACGTTGGGATGTCATTGGATGATCTCTGGGTGCCACGATGTTGATTGTCGTTCTGTGACAGTGGGAGTGGCAGAGAGAACGTGGAAGAAGAGGAAGGGAACTACCTGAGGTTCTTCAACCGCTCGCATCTCCTCAATGCTTCCAGTTACTCCTTGTCGAGTCTCTTTAGGTCAGTATGCAGAGGTTTGCTAATGAATGAATGGCATTGGTGTCAACATTTGGACCCACAGACAATTGGGCAACCATCTAATACCCCCAATGATCAGGTTCTCAAAATAGAGTACATCTTGTCTCACTTACATTTAAAAAAATTGGTTTTGATGAACAGATTTTCCTCCTCATTACCTCTATAGCTTGTAGATGCAACACAATGCCTTTTACATTCTTAATAGAAACCACATATAATGGAAAGAGAGCAAAAAATTTTTCACCGACCAGCTTCACATCGAAGTACCAGGATTCACATGATAGGTTCAGAATCAAGACAGGATATTGCTCACCTTGTCCCTCCGTTTGGCCAAGCCAATCTAATTAAGTAGAGAATAGCGTCTTAGATTGAAATCGTCCGATATGCCAGTGCCAGAAACGTGTACAAATAGAAGGGTTGCTCAGATGAATGTGAAAATAATGCTTACAACAGTTTATTTTTTGCCAGAAAACAAAAAAAAAAGGCATTTTCTCCAAACGCTTTCGACTATTTTCATAAATTGATTTATTATCATGGTCGTGATTTCTGGTGACGATTGAAGCTTTTATGGAGTCAAGCTTTTATGGAGTCGTGCTCTTTAGGCGTGGGCGGCAGGACTTCACCTGCAGCTTCCTTAGGAAAAAGTCCGTCGTGCAACCGTTCTTTTGAGACGACAGACAGCCAGACTTTTTACTTTTGGGATGGATATCAGTGCCCTTCTCTTAATGCCCTTCGATGAGGAAGTCACTCTGCGAATTCACTGAGCTCTATCCGGGTCAGAAGTCAGGAAATGGCTCTCTTGAATGGTGGAAATAATATGGAGTCGTCGAAATGATAGAATTCTTTCTTAGCGATCCTCGAGTAGAAACCAACAAGAGAGGATGACTCACGATTAGGTGTTATTTGTTCCCGAGTAGCTTGGGCAGCGTGACGGGGAGCATCGCGAGCGAAGCGGGAAGCAGATGCGGGTCCATGAGGTCTGCCGGTCCGTCTTGGCAGGGCCCGTCGTGCCTGCTGGCTCTCTACGAGCTCCTCGTGGCGCCGATGGATCAGTTCCTGCCACCGCCGTCTCAGCCGAGGGAACTCATGCTGGTCTTGGACGGGGACTTGCACCTCGTTCCCTGGCCGGTCCTGAAGGGGCCGTCGTGCAACGAATTCCTCTGCGAACGCTTCAGTCTTCTCGTCCTCCCGTCGCTGTCGGCTCTGCGCACCGGGCACAAAGGGAAGAGTCTCGTGGCGTCGGAGGAGATCCCATCCTCGGTGGTCGTGGGGAATCCCGCCCTGCCGAATGCGGTTCGGGCGGAATGGGGCTGGCCCAACCTTCCCTACGCCGAGCAGGAGGCGAACATCGTCGGAGAACTCCTGGGCGCGAAGCCGTTGGTCGGTCCCGCAGCGACGAAAGAGAACGTCCTTCGGGAGCTGGCAGACGCGCAGTGCATCCACCTCGCGACCCACGTCTCGTGGCAGCTGTCGGCTCTGGTCGTGTCTCCGGGAGGCATCGTGGAGCCCGGTCCGATCAAGGACAAGGAGAACGGGGAGGATCAAGAGACGGCATCGGATCTCTCCACGTCGCTCGAGGTCCCTCCTCCGAGTGAATTCCTCTTGACTGCGACCGACATACTCAACTTGAAACTCTCTGCCAAGCTGGTCGTGGTGAGGATTTTCGCTATTCGCTTTTTATCATCTTTTCTCCTAGCTGGAATGTATAAAATGTTCTTGTAAAATATAGCGAAATCTTTGTTAGTAAATGGAACCGACATTTTGATGCATCAGCTCATGAACAGAAGACCCTTTCTTTTAAAACGTTGACGACCGAGGGGTTTGGAACCACTGTTCTTCCCTATGGCGAATGTGGCACAACGGCGTGTCACGTAGCGGTCAACTTATCGAAACCGTAGACCCACCATTGAAGTTGTAACTTCGATAATACTCCTTTTTTGTCCATTCCTTTGATCAAAATTCAGTTTATGACTATTTTGGTTCATTGCGTGCGGGTGTTGCTCTCGTGGAACGAGATACGTTCTGCCTGGTAAGAAAATCTCATTTCCTATCGTGCTTAGTGCCGCACGCGCGGAGTAAAAATAATCACAGCTATAACTCTTGCGAGTGCACGGAAATGATGACACGTTTATTGGATCCAGGTGAGCTCGTGTCACACGCGGGACGAGCGACAGGGCCGCGCTTCGACGCAGGGTGTCCTCCGCCTCGTGAGGAGCCTCCTCGCGGCTGGCGCTCACTGCGTCCTCGTCTCGCTCTGGCCCGTCCCCGACACGGCCGTCAAGATCCTCCTTCGGACCTTCTACTCCTCGCTTCTACAGGTAAGTGCTTTCGAGTCCTTTTTTTTTTCAATTCATCCTTCACTACTGGGATCGGGAGAAAAACTGCTTCGGTCGTTCGGTTCGTCGAGTCCTCCACAAATTAAATGGTTAAAGAGGCAAAATATACTGTAACTTTCGTGTTTCGAATTTATATTTCGCCCCTGTAAAAATATTAAATGAGACCTAGCAATTTAATTCGATATTCAATTCAGAAGAAAGATATGCATTTATACCTGTACACGAAAAGAAGACCTCTTTGGTCCTTCATGGTTTGGCAATTCCGATGGATGAGAGAAATCTTAAGACATATTTGCCCGTGAAGAAAGGTTTAGAAGCGGGTTGTCCGGCAGTGGCAGATGTTTGAAATGTCTCAACCACCCCTGGCTACGCCACGGGTGGTTGAGACATTTCAAACATTCTAGCCCCCCTTCTAGCCCCCCCCCCCAATGGGGGGGGGGCTAGAAACTTCACGGGCCCCACGGAGGGCCGGGGGGGCATTTATACCAGAGTTGGGGGGGCTTCAGCTCCCCCCCCCCCCCCCCCCCCCCCCCCCCCCCAAGGAGGCTCCTCACGAGGCGGAGGACACCCTGCGTCGAAGCGCGGCCCTGTCGCTCGTCCCGCGTGTGACACGAGCTCACCTGGATCCAATAAACGTGTCATCATTTCCGTGCATGTTCTTTGGAAGTCGTATATATATATTTTTTCAAGTCGTAAATGTAAAATTTGTTAGCTATTTACAGAAAAATTTTCCAATATCGTTTCATAACCAGATCTCGTAGAAACGGTTTGATTAAATTTGCATCATGAGCGCTATTAAACGTCCCGAATGCCCTCATCGACGGAATGAGAAGTTTACGTGCGATGGTGATCGGTTTTGCCATCAGGGTGCACGCCTGAGTCGAGCCCTGAGCGAAGCCATGATGACGGTGCAGCACACGAAGCACTTCGCCCACCCGGCCAACTGGGCCGGGTTCCTCCTGTTCGGCGTCGATGCCCGGCTCTCCAACAAGGTGGCGCTCATGGGGCAGGCGTTGTGCCAGCTCCTGTCCACGCCGGACAAGTGTCGGCATGCGCTCAGAGTCACGCTGCATCTGGTACGTTTCCGGTATCGAGAAGATGCCTCGAGCGGTGAGAGCGGGTGATGACTTCGTCTACGTTTCGAAAAAACAGGTGGAGAAATCTCTGCAGCGCATCAACCGCGGGCACAAGAACGCGATGTACACGACGCAGCAGAGCATCGCGAACAAAGTGGGAGAGGTGCAAGGCTGGAAGGACCTGCTCATGTCGGTGGGATTCAGGTTCGAGCCGCCGGCGAACGGGATCCCGGCGAGCGTGTTCTTCCCGCAGAGCGACGCGGCGGGGCGCCTGCCGCAGTGCAGCGCGAGCCTCCAGGCGCTGCTGGGGCTGTCGTCGGCCTCGGTGCAGGCGCTGGCGAAGCTCCTGATCTCGCCCGAGGCGGCCGAGGACCTCATCGGGATCGTCCGGGACGTGATCGGGCAGTTCACCTCGCACGAGCTCGACATGGAGAGCATCGAGGTCCCGATGAGCATGAGTCTGTGGCGGAGACCCGGCTGCCACGAACTCCTCGCTTCTTTGGGTCCGTTTTCTCGAACGTCTTGCGGATTCGCCCATTTTCGTGTTTAACCTTTGTCGAAGTCGCGAATCGGCATCGTTTTCGCGGATCCGGAACGAATGAAACGGTTCGTCCTTGTAGGCTTCGACTTGATGGAGGTCGGTCGAGACCAGGTTCACCTTCGAACGGGGAAACAGGCCAATAAGAGGAGTATCCATTTCGCACTCCAGGCCCTTCTCGCCCTATTTGGTACGTTCCGAGTTCCATTCCGTATTCTATTAGCCTCTCGAAGGATTCTCTTATCGTTGCCGGAGGCCTCCTTCGTTAAAATTCCTTTTATGTTTGTGTCTATTCCCGAAATGCGGTCAAGGACGAGCATCTGTTTTCGTTGCCTTTCACGTCTTCGGCTCGATCCAGGAGGGTGCCCTAAATCGTTATCGTTATGCAATATGCGCCTCCTGAATTCCTGCATGGTAATACGCCCTAATTTCTGAAGTTTCCAACACGGCCTTCGAGTCGTATTCATTTAGAGTCTCCTGCATTCCTGGCATCGCAAAAGTTTTTATTATTTTTAATTTTGAGTTTATGTAATATTTTGGTTTTTCTGCACAGTGAGACTTTCCGTTCGTTTCTTCAGATACCCAAGAAGCACCGCGAAGCCTGAGCCTGGACGAATCCAGCAGCCTCGAGAGCCTGGAATCCTCGAGCCTGAGTCACGCCGAGGACGAGCTGGAAGACGAGGACGAAGAGAGGCGGGACCGGACGTCGACGTCCCCGATGGCCCTCTTCGGCAAGGGCGGAGCGTTCGCGTCCTACGTCCGGAGCCGCGGGGAACCGGACGGCCGGACGGCCGCCACCAACGAATCCAAGCGCAGCGAGAGCGACGCCAACTTCACTCCCAGCCCGGTGGATCCGTCTCACAAGGCCGGGTTCCACCTCCCCCTGCAGACGAGTCCCAAGGTCTCCTTGGCGCTGTCGCATCAGACGAAGATCCGCTCGATGTACGAGAGCAGCAGCAGTGCCAGTTCCCTCACGGACTGGGAAGCGTCGAGCACCGCCCGCAAGGCGGTGCGAACGACGAACGACCCGACGATCACGACGGTCGACAGCATCCAGGATCACATCATCGCGACCCAGATGACCCGTCTGAACCGCGAAGCCCCGCTGACGGACGTGTACCGCGACCGCCACGTGGGACTCGGACTCGCCCCGCCCCTGTCCAAACTCCTCATGTCCGTGAGCAAGGAGGACATCGTGCTCTCCGAGGCCGAGAACAAGTCCGGCTCGGACGACACGTACGGGAACCTGGACCAGGTCTCGGTCGCGGAAGGCACGACGTATTCCCTGCCCGTGGTCCCCCCCGTGGTTCCCCCCGTGCCCCCCAAACGCGTCCCGCCGCCGAAACAGTGGGCCCTGCCGGGCCATCGACACGAACTCCCGCGTCGCAGCGACGGAGACGGTCGGTCCATGACGGAATCCAATTACGCCGCGTGTTCTCCGCAGGACGCGAAGACCCGCGGGATCCTCCGAGCCGACTACGCCGCGTTCAACCCGGCCTACGAGGACGAGAACGAGACGCCGACCGGATCGGCCGCGACCCTCGACGCTTCCCAGGTCGAAGAGATCACGGAGTACATCGAGGAGGTGTTGAAGCCCCGAACGGGGAGCGAAGAGAGGAGATCCTCGGGGAAGGGGAGCCGAGGAAGCCGACTCTCCGGGGGCTGGACTCGTCCCTTCAAGGTGTTCCACCCCGGAGCATCCAACACGACTCATTGATCCGTGCGGTCCGGCCGTGTCTCATGCGGGCGCGAGAGCGAGTGCAGCCGACGCGAGTGCCAGAGATGGAGATATTTATATTGTGATGTCGGTGCCGAGTTGCCTTTACCGCGAGGAGCAATAAAGGGCCATTTCTCGTTTGCGAGTTCGCGATTAGGGGAATCCGTCGGATCGCGTTTCTAAGCGGTGCGGTGCACGATATGCACGGCACGTCGTGGTAATATGGCTTTCGTCCTTGGAGTCTGGGATGGCTCGTTGAGGGTTCAAAGGTCTATATCATGGACCTTCTCCTGTGCGTGGGATCCATCTTGGCTGAAACTCAACGCTTCAGCGTTGGATTCTTCCTCTGTGGTCTCGATTCGATATCTTTTCTCAGTGAAAGAAATTAACGGTGTTTCATGCCAACGCCTCTCCCTTTCCCCCTCCCCCTGTCTCTCTCCCTTTCCCCCATCCCCTGTAAGCCAGGCAGGTTCTTGGTGCAATTTTTGGCATGCTCTTATACGCCTCAAAGAGACCAACTCCCAATTTTGGTCCAATGGGAGCAGGGACGGGGGGCGACCGCCCTCCTATGGCCAGGTTGTCGTTCTATTTTTTCCGCTTTTTAAAAATAGCTTCTACATTTATTTTTATTGGGGCCAGTGAAATAGATATTCAAGTTTTTATCCCAGACGAGAAATGAAAAAGGAGATACCGACTCGTATGTGACGACAAGTGCCATTTTCTTGTTTGTGATGCATCAGTTTCCTGAGAAAAAAGGATGGAGCCTATTTTTTTTTAGGCTCGGCCTGCGGCGTCCCATCTCGTCCGACAGAAACGTCGAGAAACGAAAGAGGAAGACGTCGATGCGAAGGTCGAAGGGGTGATGCGTCGCGAGCACGAAATCCGGCAGCCCCGGGCGGACGAGATGGGACGCCGCAGGCCGAGCCTAAAAAAAAATAGGCTCCATCCTTTTTTCTCAGGAAACTGATGCATCACAAACAAGAAAATGGCACTTGTCGTCACATACGAGTCGGTATCTCTTTTGGTTGGAATACTTTTCCGGAAAAAAATCCCGAGGAGAAGCTACCCGTGTGGAAGGGGAAAGGGTTTTCATGTGTGCTGCTATTCGTGAATTCGGCTTTCGTATACCAATTGTTATAAAAAGTGATGGAGCTGTTATTGACGGATATTTACGCATTAAAGCAGCAAGAAAATTAGGATTAGACACTGTTCCAGTAGTATTTGCGGATAACTTAAATAATGCTCAAACTAAAGCTTTTCGACTGCTGGCAAATCAATCAGCTAATTGTGCTAAATGGGATGATGATCTCTTAAAGATTGAATTATAAGATTTAGAATATTTGAATTTCGATCTTAAGTTTACTGGATTTGAGCTAGAGAAGATTCAAAGCTATTTATGTAATGTTACAGAACAACAAGAAGATTTTTCTGATTTAACAAAAAGTAGTGATAATAAATTGATAGTTGCAAAACCAAGAGATCTCTGGATTTTAGGTAATCACCGAATTTACTGTGGTGATAGCAGGTTAACTGAAGCGTTTAAAACGGTTTTAGACGATAAAGCAGCAGATATTACAGTGTGTGATCCTCCATACAATGTTGAATATGGTGCAAGTCAGCAGAGAGATGACTAAAAAAAATACTGAATGATGACCAAGGGGAA